ATTTGAAACACTGTTTCGCGTCTATAAGTACTGTGTTGTCTTTTTTCATTGTAGCCTACATTCCGGCTCCCATCTACTTTGGTCAGTTGTTTGACCTTGTTTGCCAATATCGCCTTTCAACCAATGGTGAATCCAATCCGACATCGTTCGTCCCCAGATCAACTCGATATGTTCATGATTCCGGCAACACGAGTGTAATTACCGCAGCGGCCTCAAGAGCAATTATTTCTTCCAACATGTTACCCACCACTGAAGTTCATGATAGCACTTCGCAGGTCGGCGCTTGCTTGCAGTACAATTTGGAGGGTCTACCGGTGGTTTGGCTGGGAATGATTCTTGCCTTGAAGTTAATTAGCCTCATGGGTTCAACGTTCACTTGGCGCGCATCGAGGTTAGTTACATACTCTAATTAAAATAACCGGTTACGATTGTTACTGCCCAATCCCTCTCCATCTTGTGTTTTATCACTGGATTTGTAAACATTGTGAGCGTGGCAGCGATCAGTGAAGTTCACTTCACTGTATCTCGCTTTACTATAATGATGATGTTGATGCCATCACGGAAAATGGATTTCTTACCTCTTCAACACGTCAACTAGGAACAGTTTCATATAACCACTTAACCTATTGTCATTTAGCAACTTGCTGAACTCAGTCCCAAACGATTCATGCCGCATTCCCGAAATCGAAGAAAATTGCACTGTAATAATATCCAAAATGTAGCGGAATAAAGAAAGATCGGAGTGCACACTTGAGTTCTTGCGCAAGTGCGGTTGAATAATTAATGGACTATCCCTTCAAGTGGCGAGTTTTGTTGATCAATTCAGTAACCAGATTGTGGTAAAATTATCGGAATACAAGTCAATTTTTGTTCAACATCTCGAAGTTTATGATGATATTTATTAGTTGTAACTGGATTCTTTCTTGATTCTTTCTCTCGATGCAACTTTGTCCTGAAGGTTTTTATCTCTCCTACTTTTTTGTTCGTATGATATTTTCGGATCTATTTCATACAAGAGTTCATAAGCTGTCATTCATTGTCATTGCCTTGTGACTTATTACTGTTCTCTTGTCGTTTATTTTGTACAGGCGACTAACTCAGAAGCGGTCACAGTCGACCACTAATGGTTCTACTACCAGTCCGGGTTCACCACATCAACCAACCCCCCATCGAACCACCCATTCTGCGGTATCTGCGCCAAAGGAATGTGATCAAAGTCACTTACATTCGCATGTGCAAGAAGAGCAGTGGAACAATCCACGAACCTTAGTCAATCCACCTGTCTAGTTAAGTATTGTATTTCGTTGTGTATATTCATCAATGATGCTTTTCTTTTTATAAGAGAATTAATCTGGACTTCCCAATACGCTTAACCTCAGTTTGCCTTTCCATTCTTCAAATGTACATAAATTTATTCTACCATGCCTTCTGTTATTTCTCTTAGGCTTCTCCCACCGAATTGAGAAACGGTCATTATTCTCAGCGATCGGCAATTCCTTTTTTTCGATTATCCCACGCGTTTTATTCTTGTTAGACATAATTTTTAAATAGAAACACACTTCCATAAACAATTTAGTGCTCATCCCCTAAGTGTGTTTCGTTCTTCTCATATCTCCGCCAACTCATCACGATCGTCCATGTGTATTGTAACTTTCATCTTTACCATGGATTTCACCCTCTTCTAATTCATCCGGTCTAGTTTTTGATATCTGTGATTCTCTCGGATAGTGTTTCCCTTGCTCTCCTGTGCATATGCTTTTCCTCTGTTCTTTCTTTTTGCTTAGTTTCAAACTAACGGTTTGTTGTAAGCCTGTCTGTTGTATAGCCTAGCATTGTCAGTTCAGTCGAAGTTCCATGAAGCATCATAGTGCTTTCGGATCGAAGTAGGTGACTGAAATGTGTTGAATTTGTAGGACCCATGTAGGTCGTACGTCGGCCCATGTAATGTGAAACCATGGGCAGTGGATCCTCAACGGCTTCAGGTGCTCGACTTGATTCGGAACACGAGAGCGAATTTTCGCTAATCAGTTTTGAGGTTAAAGCCTTCATTCCTCTCGCCCAGGTTATTCTTTGTCCACCTTGTCGCCGCTTCCGGTTATGGTATGTTTACGCAAATATAACGCGATGAGGCGGTCGTTCAGTCGGCATCCGCAACACATGTCCTAGCCATCGAAGTCTCTGGAGCGAGATGATGGCATTCAGAGGACGACTGAGATTGTCTGCGGTGAAGATTCTTCGTCGTTGACGATTCGCTGTTGTCAACGTATTCTGGCGATGCAACGAAGGCAACGGTGGTCACAGACACTTAATCTCCGTACGTCTTCTGCGTGGAGGGGCCAACTCTCAACCGTAGACTGGCGGCTTGACCCTGCCTATATCTTAGTAGTTTCGTGGGTGCTTCGAGGCCGTTGCCGCCTGGATGCAGGCCACCTAGAAGTTGTTTGTTCTACGGGGATACCGAATCTGCCCAGTATCGCATCGCGGAGGGCATCATACGGTTGTTATTGGTGGAATGCATACAATGTGGCGCAGACCCGGGGCAAGAGACCTTGGAAGGTAACCTACTAACTCAGTAAACTTGGTTAACTGATTGGTCACCCTAGCGAACTTAAGCTGGGCCAGCCAAAACTCGGTCCTCAAGTATAACTTCGGGTATACGAGCATGCAGACCCAATCCGCTCATTTCGTCTGCTGCAGCGATAAAGCCGCTCTCTTTACCCTCGGAAAATTGATTAAACATTATCAGTTAGATGTGAATCAAATGGGAAAAAATGAGTAATCAAATTGAGGGAAAGATGCTCGAACAACAGTGGACTGTAAGGTGCACTGGCTCCGTCCACGCGTGGCCCTGGTTAGTTAAATAGACGGTATTA